GAGGTCACAAGTTCGACTCCTACCAACTGCGATTCTTGAGATAGGAGATTCAAAAAGCCTTACATGCAAAGTCGAGCCAAGTTGACCTGACCTGAGTGAGATTTCAGATTGGTAAAGGCCGAGATCGGGTTGAACTGATTTACTAATAGGGATTAGGTTTTTGTCTCGTAGTGTTGATATCAACCAATATTTATGATTTGTTGCTATTTTTATGAACCAACTTTAATAATTTGTTGCTATTTTTAGGAACCAACATTAATGATTTGTTGCTATTTTAGGAACTAATATTAATAATTTGTTGCTAATTTTAGCAACGACCAATGATAATCTGTTGCCAAAGTTGGCAACGAATGTACCAAAAACAACAACAATCATGGAAACTGTATTTAAATTGATGCAATATTGCAATAAAATTGCTTTGCAATTGGTAGCCAAAATCCCATGGCAACAAGTTTTTTAGCAACAACAAATTTTCGTTTCCAACCCGTTGCTAAATAGAGTTGGCAACAAATTTTAGTTGATGCTATATTGACTTAATTTTGTAGTGCGTGTAGTTGGTAATTGGAAGCAACTTGTAGTTGATATCTTTTAATGGAGGTAAAAAATGCAAATGGTGTTATGATTAATTGGATGTATGATATGGTTAATTGTATAAATGATATCATTTAAATGATATCATTTATTTCTTGGCTGATATCATCTATAAGTTATATGATATATATTATCTATTGGTTGGATGATATCCTCTATTGGCTATATGATGCCATTTATGATATCCTTTATTGGCTAGATAATATCCTCTATTGTCTATATGATATCATTTATGATTGTGTCTATGATATCTTTTATTGGTTGGATGGTATCCTTTATTGGGTGTATGATATCATGGCTCATCTAGCCAATAAAGGATATCATATCATCCAGCCAATAAAAAATATCATCAAGCCTGTGTAGAAATATCTATCATCCAACATGTAGAAATATCATCCAACCAATAAAGGATATCATCTAGCCAATAGAGGATATCATCCTGCCAATTGAGGATATTAAAAATCTGCATGTCGTCAGTCTGGACTAACGTTATACCTTCATTCTCTAACTTTAAATATTTTTATGATTAATTTAACCCATCTTATAGGTAGATTGTGGTCTCTATCACTATTTTTTCTCTTTTATGTACATGGAAGAGAGACCGAGCAAAGTTTGATGAAGTTGGTAGGGAATTCACCTAGTGACTTCAAAGCCACAAGTTTGAAACCTTCCAAAGTCGGTGCAGTAGAGTGACAGAGTCTTTCATCTTATATATTTCGGATCCAACATGCATTTGAGGGTATTTTCTACTCATTTAATACTATTTATTTGAAGTTATAAAATGAATGTAAGAAAATATCAAATCAAACAAAAAAAAAAAAAAACAATAAAAACAACCACAACTGCACAAACACAAACTTACACTTGAATGAACAGAAAAAAAATGCAATCCAACCACTCCATTTAATAAGTTAAGCAAAAGCATATTTCTGCAACCAATGAATCCTCCACCAAGTCAGTCATTCATTCATTGTGGCATGCTACCTTTTTTCTAAAAAAAATTGTCAAATTAGATCTTTTAATTTTTTTTTTGTCAAAAACAACCTTTAAATGTATTTTTTTTTTAAAAACAAAGTTAGACCTTGATAAAAAAAATAATAATAAAATAAAAAAAATTGTTAGAAATAACCTTACTCAACTTTCACGCATTGTCCGACAAATTTCCAGTGTTGACGTGACTCCTATTTTCCTTAATTACACCCCATTTCAATCATATTAAATTATCCAAATCGAGATTTCAAATACACTTGAACTTTATATATTACTCATACTTTTGTATTAAATTGAAGGAAAAAAGGGGTGCAATAAGGAAAGTAAGAGTCACATGCCCTACATAAGTGATCAAGTCAACACCGAAATTTGTCAATAAAGCCCGAAAGTGGAGTAATGTTAGTCGTAAGTTGTAACACAAAATTTTCTTATTAAGGTTTGACTTTGCCAAAAAAAGTTTAAAAGGTTATTTTGGATAAAAGTGTCTTTTAAAAGGTTTGATCTGACAAATTTTCCTTTATTCTATTATGAGTTTTATTTGACACAATTTTCATTCACTTTGTCACAAGTTTGAGATTGATGAGATATAGTGAAACATCCTTTTTTGTGGTGATATTCATGAAGGCTAAAAGTCAATTGTAGACATATATGTTACACCTAGACAAACTTAATTCCAACCTCAAATTATTGATGTGGATCATTATTACTATTGATGGAATTGAACCTAGAAGCATAATATTTGTAGTATTTAAAATTTTAAACCACCCCCATTATTAAAAACTTTGGTATCCAAATACTCATATAAAAGATTAAGAGTAATTAAACCTATTTTGGCATTCCTATTACTAAAAACGAATTGATGAACCGATTAGATCAAATTTTGACAATGGGCATGATTTCTGAGTAATGGATAAATTTATGAATAAAGTTTGATTCTAGTTTAATTAAAGAATGGGAAAAGATTGGGAGATTTAAACTATGAATTGCATGGGAAAGTTAATGGAATTGATATGAAAATTGAATAAAATTGGAAGTTAGGGCCTGTTCTCATATATTTATTTTCATTTCAATTCAGTTCAGCTCCTAATTTTCTTCTCTTATAAAATATTCATTTCAGTTCAGTTCAGTTTAGTTCAGCTCTGCTGAGTTCAGTAAATGAGAACAGACCCTTAGTGGATGAATAGAGAAGATCACTTGGGGATTAAACATTCTAGAAAGAACGGGAAACTGAAGTAATCCTTTAATTCTCTACGATCTTTTATGTTCTTTCTATTTAAAATATTTTCGTGGAACAAAAGGTAGAGGAAAATTATTGTGTAGAACATACTCACATGAGTCCAATAATACAAACAGAAAAAAAAAATTGTTAGAAATAAGATAATAATGATCAGATTTTAGATTATAAATATCATATATTAGATTATAAGTGTCAGAATTAGATAATAATGGTCAGATATTAAATTTCTTTTGTTTGATAACAGGTTATATTGGTCGAGTATTAGATTTCTTTTGTTTGGTAATGGGTTATATTGATCGGGCATTAAATTTCTTTTGTTTGGGCATTGAAACTTGATGCATGTGTGAGTTCTCCATACATTGTAGTATTCTAGGTACACATATAGACGTGGCACATGAGTATGACAGAAATATAGTTTTAACTCACTTGGGAAACTGGACAAGTATGCTACTGTCACTAAAATTGTCTTTATGATTCTGACTGCGAATTGCGAAATGAAATCTCAAGAAATAGGCAATTATTTGAAAACGACTGTTTATCATCAATAAGAGTATCACAAAGCAAAGATAATGGAATGAAGCCATTGTTTTTCGAGAAAAAGAGAGGAGATCAAATGTGCAATTAAATTTGATAATAGACTAACACTATATAATACTCCTACTTGTTGTATCAGATGGCATTTGACTTGTATCGAGCTGCCGCTAGTGTTTATATAACTTTATATGAAACTTGAGAAGTGTGAAGGTGTTGCGAATTAATACCTTCCTAAGGTTGGGGAGGGTCACCGGCGCCGGGATGAGAGAGGGAGGGACGCCGACAGGGGACTAGGCCGTGATAGTGGGTGGGAAATGAATGTGTGCATTATAAATTGGACTCACTTGCGTCTGTTCTATGATGGAACAAATTGAACAAGATAAGGGATTGTGGTGCACTCATTTCAATCCATTAATATAGTATGCATGCATTTGTCAGACAAATTTATGAACATGTAATAATGTAAGATGCCTTAAAAAAAAAAAAAAAAATGTAAGAAGTGTCATAATTTTGATGTGAATGAAGAATACAAAAATCTTCTGTAATTAATAGTTTAATTACTTTAATATAGTTCCTGTAAAGTGACCGAGGAGTACATTTCATTGTTACTTTAATAGTTTAATTTGTTAACCTTTGTGTAGACAATTACCGTAATTAAATGCATGACTAATTGACTATGAATGGAAAAAGAAAATAATTTCCCAACAAAAAAATCCAATAGCCTAGGGCCTACTACACCTGCTTAAGTCTTTAACAAGATTCCTACCAATTTGTTCTTTTAAAAATAAAAAAAAAAGTTCCTTACCAATCTTAATTACATTTTGCAACCAAACCCCAAACCCTATTAAAACGAAATTAGTAATAAATTAAAGGAAAATTTGATTCTAATAATCCCACATTTAGCCGGTCCGTTGTTAATAATCCCACCTTTAGATTATTACTCGCTTCGTTTTTTTATATACATTACTTTGATTTTTGCACTATTCACATATCATGGTTGACTTGATTTTTTCACCTTTGTAAGATAAATAAATGTTATTATATAATACTAGATTAGACACTCGTGCGATGCACAAATTGAAAAATTTAATAGAATGAAATAAATTGTTTCTATTATTATTACCCCGTACATATTTATAAATTAGATCATAAAAACATATCTTTTATCATAAATTACTTAGTAACAAAATATAAAAATGAAAGCCAATCTGATCTAAACAAACCATATGCATACGAATTTATATATCTTAGAGTTCGATAAACAAATTAAAAATACATGTAACTTAAATAAATTGAAGCGATGTAATAAAAAAAAAATTGAAGCACCTTGGAAACATTGCGGAGCAATGGTAACATTAAACGACAACATTAGATCATTTTTGTATAACAAACCTCTATATTATTATTACACGACTTCTAAATAGGCTGCTTGCACAATCCTACGTTTACATACACAAATAACAGTAAAACCCTAAAAAAAAAATTAAAAAAAGAAACGTTGTAGTTACAAAAATATTTTAGCTCAATATCAATTTTATTTATTCCAACCCCCAAAAAAAATATTTATTATTTATTTATTTATTGACACAGTCATAGAGTGAAATAAAAATGATTAAAAATAACTAATTCTTAAAAAAAAAAATATGTATGACATCATAAGTGCATTAGGCGGAAAGTTTTTTTTTATGAGATAGCAACACGTATACAATTTGAGGAAAGGGTGATGCCAGCAGTTTTCTGTTTTAGTAATAGTTCATAGATATCATTAGATTCGTCATAATGTCTAGTTTCATAATACGGAGTATAATTTTGTTATAATTTTTACTACTGTAAGTCTGTAATTAACAATTAAAGATACTAATGGTCAAAGTTGCATCTCGAAAAATATGTCGGTCGACGCAAATTAAAGAACATATGGACAAATGTATCAACACTTTTTTTTTTTTTTTTTTTTTTTTTTTTTAAGAACATCTACCAACTATCCACCACCTAATATATATACATATGCACAAATATTTTAACACCCAAAAATCCAACAAAATAAAAACCATGAACAATCACATAGCTATATTTGCCTTCCCATTTGGCAGCCATGGCACTCCTCTCCTAAACACAACAAGGCAATTAGCATCCTTAGCACCACAAAACAAGGTACATTTCTCCTTCATTAGCACACCCAACACAATCACCTCTCTTTTTCCGAGCGGCTCGAAAACCGATGCCGATTACCCTAACATTAAGGCCTATGAAATTTGGGATGGTAAGCCTGAAGGCTACGTTTTTAGCGGAAATCACTTGGACGAAATCGACCTTTTCCTTAAGCACGCGGCGAGGCCGGGTGCATTGACAAAGGTTTTGGAGGAAGCCGAGGACAATATCGGTGTTAAAGTGAGTTGCGTGATGGGAGATGCGTTCTTGTGGTTTTTATGTGATTTGGCTAAGGAAGTTGGTGTTCCTTGGGTGTCTTGTTGGGTTTCTGGAGAGCATTCTCTTTCTGTTCATGTTTACACTGATGTTCTTAGGGAGAGGTTTGGCATTCAAGGTAACAATTTTATTAGTTTTGGTTTTTTTATAGATCGCATTTTGATTTTGTAAAATTGCAATGATTTGACTGTTACACGTGACTGCTATAATTGGTAAATAGCTACGACTTAGGGCCTGTTCTGTTCCGTTGAAATTCAGTTCAGTTCAGTTCAGTTCAGCTCAGTTCAGTTCAGTTCAGCTCTTAATTTATGTCTAATGATATTGCTAATGATATAAAGCCAAATTTCATTCTTTTAAGCTCTTATTACAACGACAACATCAACAAAAACAACAACAACAATAATAATAATAATAATAATAATAACAATAACAATAATAATTGAAATAATAATACTAATAATAATAATCAATAAATAATAATAATAATCATCAATAAATAATAATAATAATAATAATAATAATAATAATAATAATAATAATAATAAATAGTATATGTGTTTAAAATGATTAGAGGTTTCAAGTTTATAATATATTTTCCATACATTTTATAATATATTTTCCATACATTTTATAATTATAATTATATAGTATATTTTTCGTAAATATTTTAATATGTACATTTGTATATACACATATGTATAGTAATAAATAATCAATAAATAATCAAAGATCACTAATCCGTAGTTAAAAATCACTAATTAATAAGTTCATTTCAGCTCAACTCAGTTCAGTTCAGTTCAGCTGAGTTCAGTCAATCGGAACAGACCCTTATTGTAACTCTTAAAACTAATAACTTGTCAAATATAGAAATTATAATTTGACTATTACACGTGAGCTACAATAGACAAATAGCTACCATTAATTGCAACTCTTAAAACTAACCTGTCAAATATTTGTAATTTTTTTAAAAAATATTTATTTAATTTGATATGATTTTTTTTTTTGTTAGTCTAACTCGTAATAAATAAAGTCATGATATGGAGCATAAGTGAACTAAACATAGCATTAGTAGAGACCAAGACTGATCATATCACAATTTTTACCGTATTGGATTTTTGGTATACTCCCCTCCGTCCCAAAAAGTTCTAACTTTTATGATCAAATTTTAGTCCCAATATGATTATCTCATCAGTATTACGGAGTACAATATGGTCAATAATTATCAATTTACAATAATATTTGTGCAAAATTAGTTTTCTCATATAAAGTTTTGTTTTTTCATATACTTTTATTAATTTCTCTCTTTACTTTTTTAAAAACCCCATATAAATTTATCTTTACAATATATATATATTTTATTTAGCTTTTTTAATAGCCGCAAAATAGGTCAAAATGACCGTTCTTTCGGAAACAAAGAATAATATTTAATAGTCAGATACTTGAAGTAGAGGGGAGAGTAAAGAAAACTCTACTCCCAATATTCACTTAGCAGGATTCGAACTGTAAATCTTAATGATCTGAGGTAAGCAACTTATCAACACCTTCTTGTTAAAAATAATGAGTATTTGTGATATGTAAATAAATGATGCTCGATCCATATAAAAGATACTCTCAATCTAGTCCCACAAGAAAAGTACTCCGTAGAAAACAGCTACATGCAACTAGATCAATCTAGTCCCACATGAAAAGTACTCGTAGAAAACAGCTACATTTATGGCAATAAACACTAGAAAACAAAATAAAGTAATTGAATGGGAATTTTGATTGATGGAATCAATTTCAAACAATGCCCATGTCACCATTATTTTTTATTTTTTTAAAAATAGAATAGAAAGGCGTAATTTTATTAAATAATTATAGTCATTCTACACTTATAAATTTATAATCATCACTTACGAATGACATTAATTGCCCATGTCACCAACTCACAACATAAGTGTTGCTCATTTATAAATTTTAGGAGCAAAAATCTAATGAATGAGCAAATAGATATAACATCATCACACTTTTTATAAGAACTTTTTAGGTTAAATGGTTCAATATAATAAGAAATAAAGAAGGTACAACGTTTTAAAAAAAAAAAATCTAAAACTTGTGTTATATTAGTTGTACCTAGTTAATTCCTAGACAATCTGGGGTATAATAGTCTTTTCAAGTACTAGTAGAGGGGTACATGCGTCTTTTCATGTATTAGTTGAGCAGTACATGTATAATTTCCTAAATGCAAGTTGCAAACACTAATTGGATAGCTCGCCAAAAGTACTGAATAAATGACGACGACGCTATTTCAATATATTTACAAAAATGCCACTAGATTAACAAAAATTTGTTTGTCTGACAGATAAACTTGTATTTGCCAATATTATATTCCTCATAAAACCAAGTTTAATGTGTGTGTTTTTTAAACTAATACCTGTAGTTGTATAACTAAAACTCGACCACCTTAGACTTCTAGTGAAGTCGAACATGTTACGAAGTACTTGTATAATTTTTCTATTGTTGGATCAATGAACTAGGCGTCGAAGCAAGAGAAGACGAAACATTGGATTTTATACCAGGACTATCCAAGATCAGGGTGAAAGACATACCAGATGGAATTGCAACAGGAAATCTTGATTCAACATTTGCTCAAATGCTACATAAAATGAGTCAAGCTTTACCTAATGCAAGTGCAGTTTGCATTAGCTCTTGTGAAGAATTGGACCCTGTTGTTACAAATGATTTAAAGTCTAAATTCTCAAAAACTTTTTCAATTGGTCCACTAAACTTAGTAATTGCACCACAAAAAATAGCAGACAATTATAACTGTTTAGGTTGGCTTGACAAACAAAAGCCTAATTCTGTTGTTTATGTGAGTTTTGGTTCTGCTGCTACACCAACACCAAATGAGCTTTTTGCTCTGGCTCAGGCTCTTCAAGCTAGTGGGGTCAAGTTTTTATGGTCTATCAAGGATCATCTAAAGGTATGTATGCTACTTATAAATTTTCGATCGAGGATTACTTTCTACACCCATGGTCGGGGGCAGAAGGATCAAACCCCGTCCATGGGTGCTGGAGGTATGTAGAAGATCTCACCAATCTTCCAACCCCTCGTTTTTTTATTCTTTTTGTGTATGTAGTTGTTATAATTGGTCATATAATAGACATGACATTAATCATTTACAACTTTGGACAAATAAATATGTTGCATTGAACCTTTTTACGTGACCAAAATTATTACAGGTACATTTTCCAAACGATTTCCTAGAGAAAAGCAGAGAAAATGGCATGGTGGTCTCTTGGGTACCCCAAATAGAAGTCCTGGCACATGATGCAATAGGGGTGTTCATCACCCACTTTGGTTACAATTCCGTGACCGAGAGTATAGCTGCAGAGGTTCCGATGATCGGGCGGCCCTTCTTTGGAGATCATAAGTTGAATGGACGACTAGTAGAGGCCGTTTGGGAGGTTGGACTGCAAGTTGAAGGAGAGACTTTTACAAAGGAAGGAATTTTGAAGAGTTTGGATCGAATTTTGTCGAGTGATGAAGGAAAGAAAATGAGGGCAAATATCAAAAGCCTTAAACACTTGGTTGGAAAAGCTGTTGCCCCTGATGGGAGTTCCAACAAGAATTTTAGGTTGCTTTTGGAACATATCACAAAAACATAGTTGTAACTATGAAACTAGTCGAGTAGAAGAACAATTTTGCATTGGTCACTTGTTAAAATAGGTCAAATTAGGCAAGTTATGCTCTTATTTAAATTGAAGTGAGTGAATATGGTAAGATGTTGCATTCCTTGTTTCCTTCTAAAACAAGGGGCTAAGATATCTCAGAGTTGTATTAAAAATAGTTCAAACAAACTCATGAAATAAAAGACATTTTTTTTTTAATATTTTTTAATATTTTTTTTTATTATGTATACTTTTTATTACTTTCATCGAACTACAAGCTGATAATAACTTAGGCCCCGTTCTCTTCACCTTAATTTTGCTGAACTGAAATTATTTTTACTGAATTGAAATTATTTTTGCTGAACTTAAATTAATTTTACTGAACTTAAATTAATTTTACTGAACTGGAATTATTTTAGCTGAACTGAAATTATTTTTATTAGATTCTTTTAGTTATAATTCTTCCTTAAGGAAACTAAATTTTACTGAACTGAACTTATTTTTACTGAACTGAAATTATTTTTACTGAACTGAAATTAATTTTACTGAACTGAACTTATTTTTACTGAAATGAAATTATTTTTACTTAATATTATTTTATTAAGGTGAAGAGAACAGGGCCTTACAAATCATAATAAAGAGCATTCTAGATTCCCTGGAAACTACTAGGTCGTAAAGACCAATCATTACAGAAATTACTAATTAAGGATCTGTAAGGGTCGGGTATGTTCTCTTTAGCTTAATTCTAGTTCAGTTCTTTATTTAATTTCCTTCTATCACAAACAGTTCACTTCAGTAAATCAGAACAGTACAGACCCTAAGTCTAATAATCCAATGATTGATTTTTTTTTTATTTTTTTTATTGTTTTTATTTTTTTGAATCTAAAAATATTACTCCCTCTGTCCCTAAATTACATTCCTACTTCTAGTATTTATTCCTCACAAACTCGTAATAATTAGAGAGAAATAGAAATGTAATTTAAGAACAGAGGGAGTATTTCTAAATAGACTAACAAAAATAAACAAGGGCCACAAAATACTAGTTACCTATATATTAAGGGTGGCGACGTTTGATATTAGTTATTCCACTATAGTGATATCATATATACGAAGTAGATTGAACTTTTCCAAATTTTGATTGAACATATAAACAATAATAAGTAATAACAATCACAAAAACTTACAAATTTGAAAGTAAAATTGCTATCCAACTAAAATTAGTTTGAATTTCAAATCAATTAAAAAGTTGGTTGATGTTTGGAAAAGATGAATTGGGGATTAATCATAGCCCCAAAAACAAATGAGAAACTAACAAACTAGAAAACAAAAAACAAAGCAACTAGAACTAAAGCAACTAGGTCAATTGCTATTGTGACGTTTAGGAAAGTGAATATAGGAGTAATAGAGTTAAATAGAAAAATGACACGAGTGTTATTATTGGCTATTAGTACTACCTACTACGTAGTACCTAATATGAAGACAAAATTAAATGAATGAAAAATTGAAAAGTTAAGGCTTATGCTACGATTTTCTAATTAACTACCTACCTACACGGCTACACCAAATTATTACAACGGGATGTTTGGTATAGTGTGTGGTTATGTGAGAACGAGAATTTGTGGAATAGAGGTTTGGATAAGAAGTGAGAACTTATTGCTAGGAATTAATTAAAATATGTGTGTAAGAAATATATTATGGAGTACTCCGTACAAGTGTAAAAGCTTGTTCTGATTTATTGAACTGAGTTGAGCTGAGCTGAATTGAACTGATTGGAGCTAAACTAAATTAAACTAAATGAATTGTTTATGAGAAAAGGAAATTAGGAGCTGAACTGAACTTAAGTTGAAGAGAACGAACCCAAGTTTACAAAGATACTCCCTCCATTTCAAAATACTTACTCTACTTTATTTTTCCGACCGTTTTTAAATATTTGCTCCATTCCCTTATTTGAAAAGTTTTTACAATATTTAATTAATTTATCTCATCTAATGGCCTGGACCAAACATAAATATATTTTATTAATTTCATATTATTTCCCATTACCAATAAGCGAACTCATAATTGACGGCTATAATGGAAAGAAACAAAAAAAAAAAAAGTTTCTCTCTCTTCCAATCCTCTCATCTAATTAATTTATCTCATCTAATGGACCCAATATATATTTTAATTTAGGTGCGTAACACTTTGTGCATATACAAACGATACACTTATTTAAAGTCAACTACTACTATTTACTGAACCCACCTAAATTATTTGTAGTCCTAAGTTAAGGTAACCAAGTAATTAGGTACCAACTACTCACTTTAATTATTTTATCAACCTTATATATAGACATATAGTCCATGCTATAAGCAACAAAGAATAACGACCACCAAAGGCATGAGTACTCATATAGCAGTATTTGCCTTCCCATTTACCAGCCATGTCGCCAATCTTCTAGTCACAATAAGAAAATTAGCCAGCTTAGCACCGCAAAACAAGGTGCAGTTCTCTTTCTTTAGCACACCCAACTCAATAAACTCTCTTTTCCAAAAAGAGTCTAAAACTTGTGAAGATCATCCCAATATTAAGGCCTATGAAATATGGGATGGTAAGCCTGTAGGGTATGTTTCTAAGGGCAACCCCTTGGAGGAAATTGACCTCTTTGTTAAGGGGGCAACGTGGCCGGGTGTTTTGAAGAAGGCGGTGGAGGAAGCTGAGGAGGATGTAGGTGTTAAAGTGAGTTGTGTTATGGGAGATGCATTCTTGTATTATTTATGTGATTTGAGCAAGGAGATTGAGGTGCCTTGGGTGCCAATATGGAACGGAGGAGAGCATGCTTTCTATGTTCATGTTTACACTGATGTTATTAGGCAAAGGTTTGGCACTCAAGGTACGGTACATATACAGTTTTTAATTTTTGGTTTTACGATAATCTGATCTGTATAAAGTACCAAGTATAATTTATAAACATTAGAGTTCATATTCTTAAATATAAATTGGGTGACTAATAGTTTGTTTGGGTAATGTTAAGGGAAGGAAAAGAAAGGGAGAAAGGTGAAGGGGAAGAAAGAAGAATCATTTTCTTAGAATTTAGTACTACATTTCTCTCCCTTTCAATTCTCTTTAGGGCTTTTCGGTTCACCTTATTTTTTGTTATCTGATCTGATTTGATTTGGTCTGGTCTGGTCTGATCTAAATGTCAAATTTGATCAAACTTTGACTCTAAAAATACGATAATCCATATGAAAAAATATGTTAAGTGGGGTCTTGTTAGATGCGTATTAATGTGTATTTTATTAATATGTGATTTTCATAATTTTTTTCATTACGAAATTAAAGATATTTAGCGATAAAAAACTGCACATAAAACGAGGATTTGATCTGAACCTTTTTTTTTTAAATAAGTAAAAATAAGGTGAACTAAACAAGACCTTATTCCTAATTTTTTTTATCTAGATGAAATCAACTCCTTCCCTTCCTTTCCTTTCCCTCCATTTCCCTTAATCCAAACACACTATAAAACAATAAAGTTTTACCAAAGTAATATATGTGGTGTGACCGTGTAAATTTGCAATTTAGTGTATATTATCAAATAGTTGAAAAATTAAGGAAATGCAAAGTTCTATTGAGTATTGACCCCCAAGGCTAGACTTGACAATCTCAACCCGACCCGAATGACCTGACATGCGATCCGAAAATTGGTGGTGGGTTTGGCTAAAAAAAGTGGTAGGTTGGAACAAATTTTTCAAAATTGGTGGTCTTAAAACGTGGTTATATGTAAAAAAAAAAAAAACAAGATTTAAAAAGGTGGTTATTTGCAAAATTTCCTAAAATTAACTAATCTGTACTATTACTGAAATAAGAGGGAATTATCCCACAATTTTTGTAGGTGAATTTATTTTTGGCGACCCAGCCCGAACTTGACCCGACTCAAATTGACCTGCAAAAACTAATCCGACCCGAAAACTAGTCCTGAAAATAATTGACTCAACCCAAACTAACACGACCTAGCTCTAAATATTAACTGGTCCAAAAGCAACCTGACCCGAACTCGACTTGAATGACCTGTTCTCCAGGTCTACCCAAGGCTATATGTTTTGAATTTTACCAACTACATTAAAACAACAAAAACCCTAATTATGAGTATACATATTATTGTGAAAAAAATTCTTTTTGTTTTGGCACCATTTAGGGCTTGTTCTAATTTATTGAACTGAGCTGAAGTGCTGAACTAAACTGAACTGAACTATTCTATTTATGAGAGAAGGAAAATAGGAACTGAACTAAAATGAACTGAAATTAAGCCGAAGAGAACAAACCCTTAATATATTCCTTTCAAGAATTTATTGGTGGACTCATTTGTTAGTTTTCTCTCATTAACTATTTTCATGATCCTCCTCCTTCTCTCCCAACAAGTGTAGTTACATGACTAAAACTTGCCCATCCTAGACCTCTGGTCAAGTCGAGACACTGCTTAATGTTATTTTCTTATCATCATTACTGATATTGGTTGGCCCCTTTTATGGAATTAAGGCTTTGATTGATTACTAATACTGGTGTGATCAATGAATTAGGCATTGGAGCAAGAGAAGAAGAAACACTGGATTTTATACCAGCACTATCCAAGATCAGGTTGAAAGACCTCCAAGATGGAATTGTATCAGGAAATCTTAATTCACCCATTTCTCAAATGTTACATAAAATGAGTCAAAATTTACCTTATGCAAGTGCAATTTGCATGGGAGGTTGTGAAGAATTTGACCCTGTTGTTATAGGTGATTTAAAGTCTAAATTCTCAAAGGTTTTTCCAGCGGGTCCACTATGCCTAGTAATTGAACCACCAAAAATGGCAGATAAATATAATTGTTTGGGTTGGCTTGACAAACAAAGAACCAATTCTGTTGTTTACGTGAGTTTTGGTTATTCTGCTACGCCACCACCAAATGAGATTTTTGCTCTCGCTGAGGCTCTTCAAGCTAGTGGATTCAAGTTTTTATGGTCAATCAAGGATCACTTAAAGGTAATATACTCGTAAATTTTCGATATAGGATAGCTTTCTGCACCCCACCCATGGTCGAGGGTGGAAGGATCAAACTAGACCATGGGTGCGGGTGTTAGAAAGCTCGCTCACCGGTATTCAACCCCGGCCATCGACTTTTCTTTTTCGTGAGGTGTGGTTAATTTGTATTTATGTTTACGTGATTTAATTTGTTTTTTTTTTTTTTTTTTTAAAATAAAGTGAATTAGTCTTGACATAGTTGTTAAAATTTATACTCTGTGTACGTAGCACTGAACTTAATTACGGGACCAAAATTAATGTAGGTACACTTTCCAAACAATTTCTTGGAGAATAATGGAGAAAATGGCATGATGGTCCCTTGGACACCCCAAAGAGAAGTCCTAGCCCATGATGCAGTAGGGGTATTCATCACCCATTTTGGCTACCATTCCGTAGTTGAGAGTATAGTACCCGAAGTTCCGATGATCGGACGACCCTTCTTTGGTGACCAAAAACTTAATGGACGGCTAGTAGAGGCAGTTTGGGAGATCGGATTGATAGTTGAAGGAGGGACTTTTACAAAGGAAGGAGTATTGAAGAATTTGAATCAAATTTTGTTGGGTGATGAAGGGAAGAAAATGAGGGCAAATATCAAAAACCGTAAAGAATTGCTTGTTAAAGCTATTGCCTCTAATGGGAGCATCAACAAGAATTGTATGTTGCTATTGGAACATATCTTGAAAACATAGGTGTAACTATGTAAGGCTGAAACAAGTCGAGCCACCGAATTGTTAGTTATATTTTAAATTTAAAGTTGTTATACTATATTGGTAGTTGGTGTAATAATGTCTTTATTAGATTGCATTTTTAAGGAAGGATTGTTTTTTTTTTTTTTTTGAAACAATAAAGGAAGGATTGTTTAATTCATGATTGTCTAAGCTTGATTTGATTGAGTTTTCTTGCTTGGATAGGACAAACTTCCAACCTACATCAAACAAGTATTACTCGGTATAAAATAAAGCTTGCAAATTGCAGAGACTAATTAATATTTAGGAAAATTTGATAAATACCACCATCTATTGTTGGCAAAATTGGAAATACCACCTCAAGTTTTTTTTTTTATATTTTACCACCTAGTTTTTTTCTAAACTTTTGAAACTCCCACCATGACGTCATTGTGGGTCCCACATTTGCGTTTTCCCTCTCTTTCCCTCTCTCTTCCCTTGATTTCCCCTGTTCCTCATCTTCTTCCTCCCTCTCTTCCAATTTCGTTTCTTGATTTTGATAGCGTGTACAAAAATTTGCGCAAATTAGGTTATAATTTATGCAATCTAACCTAAAACGAAGTGTATTGATTAGATTAATTAGGGTTTGGGTAATTAATTTGGAGGTTTTGCTAAATTGGACAAATTAGGGTTTATGAAGTTAAAATTGAATGAATAAGTGGACAATTAAACAAGTAATTACCACGAAAACACAATTAAACATGCAATTGGAGGTGAAAACACTAACATTGTTGAATAGAGAAGGAGAAAACAAGTAATTACCATGAAAACACAATTAACCATGATTCTTTCACATAGAAAAGGAAAGAGTGAAAAATGAATGTTGAATGTTAGGGTTTAACAATAAATTTGGGTGGGTGAGAGTATAGTAATGGGTATTGAAGAGGAGAGAGATGAAATTGAAAGAGGAAACTCGAGGAACAGGGGAAATCGAGGGAAGAACGGGGGAAAGAGAGGGAAAACGCAAATGTGGGACCCACAATGACGTCATCTAAGAAAAGAGGTGGGAGTTTCAAAAGTTTAGGAAAAAACTAGGTGGTAATTTACAAAAAAAAAACTTGAGGTGGTATTTCCAATTTTGCCAACAATATATGGTGGTATTTATCAAATTTTCCTAATATTTATAAACAACACTCTTATTTCCCAAAACTATTATATTATTATGGCAAAAGCTAAATGAGCGCCCCCGGGGCATTAGATAAGAGAATTAAAGTGCAAATATTAGAGTAAAATTAACATTAATTACACCGAACGACGCGTGATTTTGTCATGAATTCCTAACTTAATACCATTTGAACCAATATAATTTATTCTTATCTAACGCCCCGGGGCGCTCGTTAGCAAGATCGTATTATTATTATATTATTAACCATAATAAATACTATAATGTAGGTACTCGGTACTCCTCCACTTGTTTTTGATGTTTTCAAATTTGTAACTATTCAAAAATGGAAGGGAATAATCTTATAAATAATCTCAATATATAAGGAAAAAAATGGTCATATGGAATCTTAAGATTTTTCTCAATGAATGTTTTTTTTTTTTTTACAAGAAGAAGAATATTATCATTAATAAATAGCCATACGACATCTACAACAATAATAAAGATTTGTAAACCATAAATCTAGAGAAAATAACGTAACTTTTACAATCAAAATCATAACTAATTTGCATATCGGGCATAGCTCACACTCCACTACTTCTCAATGAATGGTTTAAGAATATACAAATTTATAAAAAATATTAATGAATTTATACATACAAAGTTATAGAAATTAGTTGTCAAAGATTCACATTAGCAAAGGTACAATGTCAAAATATATAGAAACTACTACTCCCTCCATCCCTAAATTACATTCCTCCTTTCTATTTTTGGTAAGTTTTTTTTAGTAAATCAACTCTCTTTTTCTGTTTTATATTTAATGTTTTCTCACTCATCCTTACCCTAATCTCACTCATAATCCTTGTGCCAAATTACAATGAATATGATTGGTTAAAAATTTTCAATTAGGAGCATGTGATTGGTCCTTTTTTTTTTGCAAAGGATTGATGACATGTCATGAGTAATAACTAATCTATTTTTGTACTTCCCATTGCATTATCTAATTATTGTTATTTGTCTTATTCTTCCCTCCTTAATTCCCGTGTAAATTTCCAAAGAGAAATGTAATTTAAGGACGGAGGGAGTAAAAAAACAGAAGGGTAGAAAATTAACTAGGGATTGAGAATTTATATTAATTATTACAAGAATACGGGGTACATTTTTAATATTTTATACGAGTACTAATTTTATTTTTAAAAAGGTACAATTTTTTTCAAACTTTATTTGAATGAGTTTTAATCGAGCTATAAAATGATCATGATTGGGCAATTTTGTGAACACAAATAAGAATCTCATTTATTTATGGTTTTAATTGCGCTATAAATGATCATGATCGAGCTATTGATCATGATTGAGCTTCTTAATAAATAATTAGTACTCCGCAGTGTTAATGTTAAACAAAATTGTTTGTGCTAGATTAACTTTAATAATTATTTATACTTTTTTTTTTTTAATTGGGCGAGTAAAGCGGGGTTAACCCTACCTAAAACACCGACCATTATTTATGATGCGAGAGACAAGAAGGTACAAATTAAATTATTACAACGAAAATAGGGTGTCATTGTTGCCCCTCCTTTACTGACATTGCTGTATAGTCCAACTAACCCCATATTGTCTTAATGTAACAGTGGTGGATGGAGTACGAATTGAGAAGGTGTTTAAATTAAATAATTTAATTACATTTGTGTCATAAATGAAATTGTTGATTTAATGATTTCCTATGATATTCAATAAGTTGTTCGCAAATTTATTGATTCATTTCTTTCCTATACATTAGGTTACAAAGTGAACACGTATAACCTACAAATTCTTAAATGGACCTGGTTCACACTAATTCATTGTGGACCACTAACATCAGAAAAACTATGGTTGTTTTATTAGTTAAAAAAAGTCACTATAATAGAAAAAAGGTCTCTATGTTGAAATAAAAGTCATTTTGGTAATATATAGGCTATAAGAGGTTAATTTTTTTAATAAAATATTTTATATACCGGTCAATATGAATAATAAAAGTCACTATGCTAAAATTAAAGTCATAACGTTATACTTTAAGTTCACAATAATATTAAACGTTATACTAGTTTTAGTAAAGGTTACTATGTTAAAAATAGGGTTACTATGTAAAAATTAAAGGTTACTATGTTCAATATAATGTCAGGTGCGTGTGTATAAACCTCGGGTCCACAATATTGTGGACCAGATCCACGCAAGTCTTTTTGCGTTTAACCTGCGCAATAGTATAGCGGACAATCCTTTTACTTATCGTGTTCTTAATGTCCCTTTTGTAATTACTACCTCCGTTAACTATTATGTGCAACAAAGCAAGGGGTATTATTTGTGAGACATAAAATACTCCTTTGTTGCACATATTAATTAACGGAGGTAGTATTTTACAACTGTATAAACTGATTTTTAGTTTTTTTTTTAATAAAAAAGTAAAATATGGTAAAACTAAATAAAATCACTTCAAAAAGGGACATAATTTTAAAGAATACAAAATTACGAAAATGTCATTAATGACAAAAAATACATGCATTTTAGGCATCCGATTATGATGTTTATTATGAAACGAATAATATTGGTTGCTTATTCTCTTTTTTAGCCTTAAAACTTTCACATGATCTAACCTATATCAAACTAAAAAAAAAATGTACACAAAATCAATGACGACTACAAAATTGTTCACTTCACTGACATTGGGGTTTTCTATTTTTCGAAATCATATGATATATGTCACATAATGAATAAAAAAATTAGTCAAATTTATTAAACTCATGGTAATTTTAAAAACTGACAACAGAATAGTGGAAACACATTTTTCTTATTTTCAATTTTTGTTTTCCAAAAATAACTAATAACAAAAACGTTTTAATTCACATGCGTAACACTTTGTGCATACACAAATATTTTTTTTTAAACGGGATGTAATAATAACATTACATAATAGTCATACGACATCTACAATAATAAAGATTTGTAAACCATAGATTCAGAGAAAATATCATAACTTTTACGATCAAAATAATAACTTTTACGATCAAAATAATAACTAATTTTTATATTTGGCATACATAGCTCATACTCCACCGCTCCGTTTCAAGCTTGACGCGAGCAATGATTTTCGATATCTTTGCATCTTTCCAAGTTGAGACCTCTGCAATCTGCGCTGATATTTTGATCGATCGATTCATGACAAATCCCAGACCCATAGGAATCCAAATCACCTTCCCAATTAGTATAAGAAACCTTACAAAAAAAATTCTCATCCATGAATGAGAATCAAAACCCCAGAAAATTAGGACAAACTTTTACAAATGCAGAGAACAAAACAGACAAACCAAAATGTAAAACAAAACAAAAAACTAAATTGAATTAAAGAAAAAGCGTTGGAATACTTGGAAATAGTCTAATTTCCGGCCTAAATGGCAAAGAAAACTAAAACCCTAGAAGAGAGAAGAGAGAAAAGAAAAAGGGCGGCTTATATATATCGTATTACCGTGCATGCATACACAAATATAATGATACACTTAGGGGGTGTTTGGTATGAAAATTTGTAACATAGGAAACATAAACAAATAAGTGCTTCCGTTTCTATTAATTTGGTATGAGCTATAAGTAACTAATACCGTTTCTAAAAGGTAACAAAATCCCCCAAATTGTTACCCTTATCCAACTAGTGGAAACAAAATGTGTTTCCTTCCTCAACCTCAATCATAAATTCCTTAATTTGTTTCCATTTTATAAAGATACCAAACATATATATATATATCAAAGGTAACGTGTATCATTACCCTTCTTTCCCTTACTTATATAAATCCTTTCCATTCCGTTTACGGAATTTATACCAAACGCCCCCTTAGCTACTATTTACTCAATCCCCCTTTATTATTTTGAGTCCTAAGTTAAGGTTACTAATTAAGTAATTAGGTGCCAACTACTGACTTTATTTTATCAACCTAATATATAGTCCATGCTATAAGCAACAAAGAATAACGACCACCAAAGGCATGAGTAATCATACAGCAGTATTTGCCTTCCCATTTGCCAGCCATGGCACCAATCTTCTAAACATAATAAGGCAATTAGCCACCTTAGCACCGCGAAATAAGGTGCATTTCTCTTTCTTTAGCACACCCAACTAATTAAACTCTCTTTTTCCTAAAACTTGTGTAGATCACCCCAACATTAAGGCCTATGAAATATGGGATGGTAAGTCTGGTGGATTGCTAAATATCGCCCGCAAATCTCCACATAAAGCCCACAAATCTATATTGAATTTACCTTATTGCCCTAAACCTAAAATAAAAAAATCTAACCCATACCCACACTCTAATCACCCGAAAATACGGCAATGTCGAGGCGGCAAGGTAAAGACTTGGCGGCCACAGCAGCGGAGGGAAGGACGGCTCACGGTGGCAGGATTTTTGTAAAAAAAAAAATTAAAAAAAAACCAGAAGTGGTGGGGCGCCTGGCCAGGACGCCCAGCCCCTGGTGGTGGCGTCTGCTCCGGCCGCCGGAACCAGGGGGCTGGCGTCTGACCTGGACGCCTAGCCACGGTTGTGGCGTTTTCCAGAGGCGCCACCGCTGTGGCTGGGCGTCCAGGTCAGACGCCAGCCCCCTGGTTCCGGCGGCCGGAGCAGACGCCACCACCAGGGGCTGGGCGTCCTGGCCAGGCGCCCCACCACTTCTGTTTTTTTTTTGTCTAATATTTTTTTTTTTTGGAAAATCAGAATTCTTTTGTTAATGTTTAATATTTTTGTTTTATGTGTTAATGTTTTTATTTCTAATATATATAAATTTTTTTTTTGAAAATCTGAATTTTTTGTGTTAATGTTTAATTTTTTTTGTTTTATGTGTTAATTTTTCATATGTGTTAATTTTTTTGTATGTGGTAATTTTTTGCGTTAATAAATAGTGTTTAAATTTTTAACATTATGTAAAAATTTTATTTGTAAATTTCATTTCTATATATAATTTACACATACAAAATTAAACATAATTTTATTAACACATATTTAAAACATAATTTCAAATTAAAACAATTTTTTTTTGAACTTATTAACACATATTTAATTTCAAATTTATCAAAGTTAAAAAACCACAAAAAAAAAACAAAAAAAACAAAAACTTTAAATAAAATTAAAAAAAATTACAAAAAGTTTAAATAAAATTACAAAAAAAAAAGAAAAAAAATAACAAATTACAAAAAAAAAAAAAAAAAAAAAAAAAAAAAAAAAAAATTAAAAAAGTAGGGGTGGCGTCTGGCCAGGACGCTACAGCCATGGTGGCGGCGTCTGGCTAGGACGCCACATCCATGGTGGCGGCGTCTGGCCAGGACGCCATAACCGTGGTGGCGGCGTCCTTGCCAGGCGCCACTGCCACGGTTGCGGCGTCCCGGCCAGACGCCACCGCCATGGTGGCGGCGTCCTGACCAGACGCCACCCCTACTTTTCGTAATTTTTTCCCCCGATTATCTCGCTTTCCGACGACGATGACGGCTCTCTGGTGTCCCTCGGCAATCCACTCCAGCTCCACATTCTTCGTGAGAGGGAATTACGGTTTCGGTAAAAATTAGAAAAAGGGCAAAAGAGTCAAAGTAAAAATAATTGTGGGCTTTATGTAGAGATTTGTGGGCGATGTTTAACAAATCCCTAAGTCTGTAGGGTATGTTTCTAAGGGCAATCCCTTGGAGGAGATTGACCTCTTTGTTAAGGCGGCAACGCGGCCGGGTGCATTGAAGAAGGTGGTGGAGGAAGCTGAAGAGGATGTTGGTGTTAAAGTGAGTTGTGTTATGGGGGATGCCTTCTTGTCTTATATATTATGTGATTTGGGTAAGGAGATTGAGGTGCCTTGGGTGCCATGCTGGAACTCAGGGGAACATTCTTTCTATGTTCATGTTTACACTGATGTTATCAGGCAAAGGTTTGGCACTCAAGGTACATATATAGTCTATCACTGTCAATTTTTAATTTTTGGTTTTATGATTAAAAGATTCTACTAGAATTAATACAATGTAATCCGATCTGTATGTACAAAGTATAATTTATAAACATTAAATCACCTATTACAACAGGGGAAAATTTCATATTTTGAATTTAGAAAATTCATGACAAAAACACACTAATTATGAGTTAAAAAGACACTATTTGAAAGGGCATGGATACACCTACCCACTGGGTAGTTTACCCGGTTGATGTGGAACTGACGTGGCAATGATGTGGCAATGATGTGTAATTTTTTTTTTATAAAAAAAAAACTATTTATTTGACCCACTTTTAACACCATAAAATCATTAATAATGCAATTTAATTTTCCAATAAGCATAATACAGGGAACTAGACAACATATTTAATGCATTCCTATTTTCTAAATCTAAATCATTAAAGTGAAGTTTTAATTTACAGTACAACACTAAATAATTTTTATTTTTATTTTTTATTTTTTTAAAAAAAGACCATTTGCATTCTTCATGAGTACAACAAGAAGGTGCTAACTATTCTTCTTTATTGACAAAGTCTTGCATGATTTTTGTTATCAAAAAAATATACTCCATAATTATACAAGTTTCAATCAAAACAATTATTCTGTAATTTGGCTTCAATTGATAATGTCCTTTCGATAACAGTATTAAAGGAGTTTATCACAGGTTAGTAAACTATTTTTATGTCATAATCTATCAATTTGTTGTGGTATGAAATAATCTTCTTGAAAGCAGATATAGTTTATATTTAATCATATACTTATGTGATAACTTAAATTATTAAGAACGATTTTTTTTATAGTCAATATTTTAATTTTAATCAAAATAATACTAGTTTAAAAATCAGTTATTTGATAGTTATTCTATAACATTTTATTTATGATATTTGAAAACATTGTAAACAATTTTTTTTATACGATATTTTTATGTGAAACGATTTTTTTTAATCAAACAATAAAAAAACATATAACTACATTTTTTTTGAGGGAATAAACATATAGCTATATTATTGAACAAGATAATAGGAAACAAATTCTTAAAATATCTACATGATAAAAGCAAATAATAGGAGATAAGTATTATCATGAAAACTAAATATTATAAGAATAACTTTCAATTCCCTTGTCTCATACGTCAAACCCCCTTGCTTAGACTTTTAGGTTGTTCTATTTTGTTTTCTTTTATTTTTGGATGTAACCCTCATTTGCCAAAAAAAAAAAAAAAAAAAAAAACAAAAAAACAAAAAAAAAAATTATAAGAATAATAACGTGTAGCTTAGAATTTTTTACCAAAAAAAAAAGTCTTTGACTGTTGAAATATTATTCAAGTAAACAGATTCATTATTTTTTAAAAAAAATATGAATTTTTTTTTTTTTTCAATTTCTCCCTTTAATAATGATTGACTAATTATAATATATATTGTATGCAGAAATTTGAAAATGGATGAGAGTGGTATTGCTAAAGTAGTACCATCCACAATAGATCTTAATATGGAGTATCAAGGTGAAGACAGTGAATACGATAGTTCCGATATGGACTTTGATATTAATTCGGAACCGGATTTTATTTGTGACGAAGTGAATGAAAATATTGATGTGTTGAGAGATGATGATGATACAAATGGAACTAATGAAAGTCATCCTATGCTAGAAAAACTTGCTCCTCCAAATGTAAGGATGATTTTTGCGTCTTATGAAGATGTCATTGAGTATTATCATGAATTTGGAAAACAAAATGGGTTCCAAATGAAAATCAGAAGTAGAGAAAATGTCAAAGGTACTGAATGTGGTAATAAGTATGATTGCACAAGGTTGAGGCTAGTATGTAAGAAAGAAGGAAAGTTTGTTCCTAGGGGCAAGGATCCATCAAAGCCTACACGAAGTGAATTTACCGGTTGTAAAGCTAAAATTACAGCTACATTTGACAAAAGTAGCGGGGAATGGAAACTCACCACGGTAGTGTTAGAGCATAACCATCCCATAAACCCTTCAAATTCTAAATTTATGCGGAATTATAGATTCATTAGTCCACATAACAAGGATGTTATACTAACTAATGAAAAGGCAGGAGTACCTATTGGAAGAAATTTTGCTACATTTGCGGTACGATATGGAGGATTTGGTGCAGTTCCCTTCTCTGAGAAAGATTGTAGAAATTTGGTTTCTAAGCATAGACGTTTGTGCCTTAAAGAAGGAGACTTTTCTGCTATGGAGAAGCATTTCATGGATATGTCTACTAAAGACAAAAAAATTTTCTACAAGTATGACACAAGCGATGGTACTCTTAAAAATGTATTTTGGGCGGATGGGAGATGTAGAGCTGCATATCGTGATTTTGGAGATGTGGTATCATTTGATCCGACATACTTAAGAAATAGGTATAGGATGCCCTTTTGTCCTTTTATAGGAGTGAATCATCATGGTCAATCGATATTGCTTGGGTGTGCTCTAATTTCGGGTGAGGACACGAAAAATTATATTTGGTTGTTTAAGACCTGGCTAGCTTGTATGTCGGGAAAAGCTCCAAATGGTATTGTCACAGATCAATGCATGGCTATAGGTAAACTTCCTACCACTTTATAAATAACTTGCATAACTTTTTCATTTATATATTTGCATGCATGGATTAATAATGTGTACAGTAAATAACTTGTTGTGCATATATATTTGCATGCATGGATTAATAATTTATACAGTGAATAGTTTGTACATTTTGCTAAGCTTTTATTTGGTTTTGTTGTGTGTAGCTACGATTGGTAGCAACATTACCCAAACTTATGGTGAATGATTAAGTTTTAATATATATATCTCCTTTTTCCTTAAAAAAAAGTGTATTTGCATAGTGATAGGCATAATATTATACTAATTAATCTTGCTTTATTTTATAATAAATTATATATGTGGTGTTTGTTGGTAATTAGTAGCTAGAATTTGTCTGTATTAGTGATAGTATCTACCTTGATGTTGTTTTGAAATAATTAAATATTCTATTTACCTCAGGGAGTGCTATTAGGGAGGTATTTCCAAACACAAAACATAGATGGTGCATTTGGCATATTATGAGAAATGCAAAAAAGCACTTGAATTTTCATGAAGATAGAGATATAATCCGTAGAGAGCTGCGTCGGACTCTCCATGATTCTCTTCATGTTGAAGAGTTTGAGAAAAAATGGAAGGATGTTATTGAAAAGCATAAGTTACAACAAATTAATTGGTTTAACGAGATGTTTAATCTAAGACATCGGTGGGTTCCTATATATTTCAAAAATGACTTTTGGGTTGGAATGTCTAGTACACAACGTAGTGAGAGCATGAATTTTTTTTTCAAAGCATTTGTGAACCTTAATACTACCTTGAAAGAATTTGTTGAGCAATATTGTCTTGCATTAGGAAAACGAGCCAATGAGGAGGAAAATGAAACATTTCGTTCAATGAATAAGCCAACCCTATGCTTCACCGAATTTGTGAGCGAGAGTGTATTTCAACGTCTTTATACCTCAAAAAAATTTGAAGAGTTTCAAGAACAAGTGCGTATGGTTACATATACAAGTGCAACTAAATCCCATGATAATGGAAGTGTTTGTGTTTATGATGTAGTGACCAAGAAGGCTAAATGGCAACAATTGATGATAAACCATACTCTTTTCTTTTGGAGAATTTGGTTAAATTGAGGCCACAAGTGAAAGCATTGTGTTGAGCCTTTTGGTTTTGATGGACAAATTGACAAACTCGACTAATGAATGTTTTGAGTCTTTGGTGAATAAAGGGTTCAAGCAAAGTTCGTTCCGGAGTAGGAACTTGGATGCGGAGTAGCATTCTCTAAAAAGTCTCATGCAAATCTCACGTTCTAGTTTTAATTGTGAGCACTCAATAATATGAAGTCGGAAAGGAACTCAATGACTTATGTTATTAAAAAAACTACTGGAATAAAAGTTAGTTTTAAAAGATAATTTCTTAAGGAAAAGATAATTTATAAAAGTTTTATCTAGTTATCTAATTTCGAATAAAGATAATTATCTAGTTGTTTTAATATAAATAATTAATTTATCTTTTCAAATAAAATCCTTTTTAAAATAAAATCTTTTTAAACAAACTTTTGATAAAGTTAGCAAGCAGTTTTCTTTGTGAAAATCGCTGATTATACGGTTTATCATAGCTAATGTTTATCAAGTTGTTGAGATAGTGGATTAGTGAGATAAGGCTAGGAAACCTCCTTCATGACCACCATCTGTCAAGATAAATCCACAAGTTGTTAGTGGGGTGTTGGCATGTGGACGTAATTATAGTGGAGGTTAATGACTAAGCCTTCTCTATAAATACTCATGCAAACTATCTCAATAAAACACAACTCTTGAGCATAAAAACTCCAGTAGCCATCTAATAACATAAAGAGAGTTATTTTCCTTCATATATTCTTGAGTGCAATAGGTATTTGTAATCACAGATTGTATTCAAGTACTTTGGGGTTTGGGATTGTGAGTTTGTGTAAGGTGAGGTCAAGGAAGCTTCGCTGCTGAATGCTTCTGTGAGAGTTGGGAACAAGTTCCTAATTTGTGGAACTTGTTAACGGGTTTGAATCTTCACTTGTAAAGAGTTTGATTACATAGTGTAAATTTAGAAAAGCCTATATCTTCTCTCGTCATTATTTCATTTAGTTAAATTCCGCAAAAAGTTTTTAGATTTCACCTCAAATACAATTCACCCCCCCTCTTGTATTAGCTAGTTAGACTTTCAGTTGGTATCAGAGCGGGAACTCAGAGCACGCAGGCAACCCTGTTGAGTAAGTTCCTGGGAAAATGGCTTACACAGAGGAAAAGGAATTCGGGAGTACATCCATTCAAAGGCCTCCATACTTCAACGGCAAATATTATCCTTATTGGAAGGATAAGATGGAAATCTTTATCCAAGCAGAGAACTATCAGGTATGGCGGATTATACAAGTAGGAGATTACGAAATTACGAAAACGAATGCTATCAATGAGGTAATCCCTAAACCTATGGATGAATATGAAAAAACTGATTTCGAAAAACTAGAAATGAATGCTACTGCCAAAAAGTTTCTAATTTGGGGACTTGGACCCGATGAACATACTCGTGTCAAAGGGTGCAAATCCGCAAAGGAAATTTGGGATCTTCTGGAAGTTACACATGAAGGAACGTCAGATGTTAAACGTTCCAAAATAGACATTCTTTTGTCTCAGTATGAGCGCTTTGAAATGGGAAACAAAGAATCCATTAAAGACATGTTTACTCGATTTAAAAGTATTACTAACGAACTAACGTGTCTTGGTAAGATAATTCCTATAGATGAGCAGGTCAGAAAGGTCTTAAGAAGTCTTCCAGACAATGACAGATGGAGAGCAAAGGTTGCAGCTGTGCAGGAATCAAAAGACTTCACCAAGTTCAATCTGGAACAGCTTGCGGGTTCCCTCATTACCCACGAGATCCAGTCGAACAATCGGACTCAGGAGACTGTCAAAAGTCAAGGGCTAGCACTAAGAGCTAATGAAGAATCCGAAGAGAAGTCTGACATTGATGAAGAAGAAGCTGCAATGTTGGTGAGAAGGCTGAAAAAATTCTATCGTAATAACAAGTTTTTAGACAAGAAGAAAGGATACAGTAAAAGAAATCAGGAATCCAAAGCCAAGTCTTCTTGTCACAAATGTGGAAGCACCAACCACTTCATCAAAGAGTGTCCATTATGGGAATCTGAGAAAGGCAAGGGAAAAGAAGCTGATCAAAACAGAAACTCCAAGCCTAACTTTTCTAAAACAAATTTCAGGAAAGCAATGATTTCCACGTGGGGAGAATCAAGTTCTGAAGAAGAGGAACAGGAACGCACAGACGATGAAGTAGCCAATCTCTGTCTAATGGCAAAGCATGATGATGAGGTAGTCATTCAACCTAGTTATTTGAAATCTCTCTCAAAGGATAAGTTAATCTCTTTATTGTTAGAAACCTTAGATGAATATAAAGAATTATGTGCAAAACTAAGGCAAGCCGAAAAGGCAACTGGAATTTGTAGAGATCATGTTAAGTATCTGAATAGCTTAAGAAATGATGTTCAAGGCAGATTCTTTGAATTGTTAGATAAAAATATTATGCTAAAAGAATCCCTTGAAAGAGTCAAGAGTGAGAATATCATGCTGAATATTGAATTGACTCAATATAAAATGTTGTGTACTAACATTGATTCTTGCAGGTCTACTGAAGTTCCTTTAATCATGTTTAATAATGAACTAGAGCATGTTAAGAAAGAGATAAAGGATACTAATGATAAAAATGAAAAACTAGAAAAGGACCTAGAAATTGCAAGAAAAAGTAAAAGTACAGCAAGCACAGGTGTTCCTAAGTGGGTAAAGGAAGCTCAGACAAAAAGAACAGAAGGTCTAGGCTATGTTCATAAGAAGAAGTCTACTAGAAAGAAAAAGAAGTATGTGGACTTGCCTAGTGAGACTGTTTGTTCATTTTGTGGGAAACAAGAACATCGCAGTGAAGAATGTACTAAGAAAGCAAAACAGTACAATAAGAATGTGAATTATGTTTGGCAGAAAAAAACTGATTTAAATGTGTCAACACGGGAACCCATGAATGAAAGGGTTCCTGCTACTAACCCTTAATTTCTTTTGCAGGTCGCAGTGAGGGGGAACAACCAGTGGTACCTCGATAGCGGTTGTTCTAAGCACATGACAGGAGATGAATCCAGATTTCTCTCACTGACGGCCTATACAGGGGGAACAGTGACCTTTGGAGACAATAAGAAGGGCAACATTGTTGCTGTTGGCAAAGTAGGAAGGTCAAGTTCCCATGCAATTGACAATGTATTTTTAGTCGAGGGTTTGAAGCATAATCTACTCAGTATTTCTCAGTTTTGTGATAAAGGAAACTCAGTAAGCTTTTCTTCTGAAAAATGCAAAATCATCAACAATAACACTGGAAAAATCGTTTTGGAAGGAACTCGTAAAGGGAACACGTATACCGTGGACCTTAACAAAGTTCCAAAATACAATCTATCTTGTTTAAGTGTTATTGAGGATGATCCACTTCTATGGCATAAACGTTTTGGACATGCTAGTCTTTCATTGCTTGACAAATTAAGGTCAAAGGACTTGGTAATCGGACTACCTTCTATCAAGTTCCTAAATGACAAAATTTGTGAAGCCTGCATCAAAGGAAAGCATGTTCGATCATCGTTTAAATCAAAGAAAATGGTAAGCACCACAAAACCATTGGAACTCATTCATATGGATTTGTGTGGCCCCGTTAGAATTCAAAGTAGAAGTGGAAAAAGATATGTCTTAGTTCTTGTGGATGATTATTCTAGATTTACATGGGTCATATTCTTACATAGTAAAGATGAAACTTTTGATATGTTTATGACTTTCTTGAAAAAGACACAAAAATCAGTAGGTAATCAACTTATTCATGTGAGAACTGACCATGGTACGGAATTCGAAAATTCCAAGTTTGATGAATTTTGCAGGGAATAGGGAATAAGTCATAATTTCTCAGCACCAAGAACACCACAACAAAATGGTGTGGTTGAGAGGAAGAACCGAACATTGGAAGACATGGCAAGAACGATGCTAATAGCAAGTGGACTACCAAGGAACTTTTGGGCAGAAGCCGTCAACACAACATGCTATATCATCAACCGGGCCATGCTTAGACCAATGTTGGACAAGACACCTTATGAACTGTTAAAAGGGAGAAAACCTAACATTGCTCATTTAAGAGCCTTTGGATGCAAATGCTTTGTTCACAATAATGATAAAAGAAATCTTGGAAAATTTGATGAAAGGAGTGATGAAGCAGTCTTTTTAGGATATGCATCTAATAGTAAAGCTTATAGAGTTTACAATAAGAGGACTATGTGTGTAGAATAAAGTATACATGTGATTTTTGATGAAACTAATAATTATGATTGTATACAGGAATATGAAGATGTAGATTTTGAAATCGGTCTCACTCGTTCAACAGACCAAGATGAAGAATTAATTCCCAGAAAGCAGCCTGTTCGAATTACTGAAAATACTGATAAGGAACCTACTGAAGTTCCAAAAAATACTGAAGCCTCTGTTCAAAATACAGAAGAAACAGAAAACACAGAAGGCGAAGAAAATGCAGAAGCAGAACACCATGAAGAAATGGAAGAAAGAGCAACTCAAAATAACACTTTTATACCAGCTCAATCATTCCAACCAAAGCCATGGAAACATCAAAGGTCACACCCCCTGGATAAAATTATAAGTGACCTAAGCAAGGGAACTCAGACGAGATCCCAACTGAGAAACTTTTGTGCATTCAACGCCTTCCTATCAACACTGGAACCTCGAAATCACAAAGAAGCCTTGGAAGATGCTGATTGGATTGTTGCCATGCAAGAGGAATTAAATGAATTCGAAAGAAACAAAGTGTGGCACCTTGAACCTAAACCAAAGAATCAAAAGGTTATTGGTCTCAAATGGGTATACAGGAATAAGCTAGATGAACATGGCACAATTGTAAGAAACAAGGCAAGATTGGTTGTTAAAGGCTACAATCAGCAGGAAGGTATCGATTTTGAGGAGACTTTCGCCCCTGTAGCTAGATTAGAAGCAATTCGTATTTTAATTGCATTTGCTGCATTTATGGGTTTTAAACTTTATCAAATGGACGTCAAATGTGCTTT